GCAGGGTGCTATTTAATCAAATATAAAAGGGGTCGGGACGTATTTTTGTCATTCAAAGGATATTGCAGAATAAATGGTACAACACTATGGAGAAGTTCAATTGTTCTGAGAAAGGGGGTTGAATTGCATTAGTTCAGATGTATTGAAAAGTCTTACTGAAGCAAAAGAAACTTTTGAATTCATCTTGATGCAGAAATCATGCAGTTGTTTAACTTCTTATTTTAGGAATCCTCCCTGGTGATTGTTGTGACCACAGCTTGTAGTGTTCTGGGAGTTCTTTTGTTGATCATGGTTGTTGTCGTGATCAGAAGAAAGAAGCCAGGAGCACCTCATTTGTTCCAACAAGGACCAGCTCCAACACCTTATGCTCGAGTCCACAACAACTCCATTGGTAAGTCTGATTTCTAATTTTAAAAAGTTCAAAACGTTACTAACTGAAGCAGAAACTCCACTGCTTAGATTCAATTACATCAACTTTATTATTATTTCCTCATCAGTTGTTTAAGTACACTTGTAGAATATGTAAATACTAAGAACCATTAATTAATCCTAAAAAATTTGTAGAAATGATAGAATAGAATATAAGAAATAACACACAGACCAACCTTTTTTTTTTTTTTTTTTTCCATTTTAATTTTTTTTTTTTTATATATACACTTTTGTTTATTTATTGTAGATTTTATATAAATAAATAAAAAAATTTTTATTTTTTTTTTAAGTTTTTGCTTTCTTTTATTAGTTTTTAACTTTTACATTTTAATTTGTACATGTTACTATGATTTTATCCTAAGTTATTAAAAACATTACAGATTGGGTTGCGTTCAATTTCTGTCACATTACCTTTCATTGTAATTTTTAAAAAAACAACATAATGTCATATTCTGATATCTGATTTAGACATTTATGAACTATATTTGAACAGATGAACATGATAGGATGGCTCTTATGGCTTATGCTGATGCTTCAGGAATACATCTTCCCTCTTATGAGGAGTCCATGAGATCTAGCAATGGATCTGGTTTCTCCGTTGTAGGTTGTGGTGTAAGCCCAAGCACTTCCGAATATCGAAGGCTGCTCCCTGCAAGTCACCCAGGAGTTCGGGCGGCCATTTTGCATCAACAGAATGTGGGTGGTGATGGAAACAACAACATAAACAACAACAATAACAACAACAGCAATCGTCTCTCTGTGGTCACCACCAGTACAATGAATCGAGATGGAGTCTCTGAAATGTTTGGCTCAATGGACACTGTCAATGTCAGCATGAGTGATGCATCAACGTCTGTGACGGTGGAAACCTTTGACTCTGGTACCTCCAACAGGTCTATCTCATCACGGACTGCCAGAGCAGGCAGTCTGAACTCATCTAATGACCAATTGTCGAATGTGAATGATGGTAAGAAGGTTGTCCTTTTGTTGTTCTTTGTTTTTCTGAAATTTTTTTTTTACCGTCAGCAAAATTAATGTTGAAATTTTTGTTATTTATTGAGTAATTTCTTATTCATGTTTAAAGTGGTAGTAGTATTCGTCACTATGAACTATAGAATAGATGTCATAGATGGCTTGATTCTAATATCTACATTAACTTAAAGCATTTTAAAATTATTTACAAAGCATATTTCATTTTTGTATTTTTTTAAATTGGTTAATTTAAAGTAATTTATATTCAGTCCAAATCCTGTAAACCAACTTAGATACTTTTTTTTTCTACCAACTGGCATTTATCCCAGTCTCTTGATGATTTTCATTTCCCTTGACACTGAAATTTCAAACTTTTTTTTCATACGGTAATTTATATGAGTTGTCTCTCTTGACGAAAGCATTCATAAAACTTGTTCCCTGTTTCCCTTTAGCATTTTATTCTTTTTTGGTCTAGTTATTGGTGAAACAAGACTGAGAAACTATTCAGCTGTAATTTGGTCTGTATTATTATCAAGAAAACTAAACAATCCAAGAAATGTTTCTTTCATTTGCTGAGGTCTGGGGTTAGGACAGAGATCTCACAAGAGAAATATGAATTTTTTTCCCTAGGGAGGTTTTTGAACACTTGTTGCCTCTCTCTATAGTCAGAGGGTGCACAATTTTTCTCCGTCTTACTATAATAGCTTTTAAAAATTAAAATGTGTGTGAGTTAATTTAGTTTTGTTTTATTTTCCACAGATGCTCCACTCTTAGAGACCAGTTCACAGAGGGAAGCTGATGTGGTCAGTGTAAGTTCAAATCCCAGCCGGTCAAGTAAAGAGGAACCCTGAGATCTCCCCCTTCTAGTTTCTAGGTTGGCTTTGATCTCATTTCAGTTTTTTTATCGTTGTGAGTTGAGACACCAAGTGGAGTCGTTTTGTTTTCTTAAGTACTACTTAACAAACAGAAGTATTTCAGTCTCATTTTTTAGCTTTATCTTTCAATACTTCACTGAGTGAATCAAATGAGTGGACAGTGACACTACTACAATGAGTGAATCAAATGAGTTCCCCAAAACATCAGTGAAATGAACAAGATGCTGATCACAGATTCATTTCACATAACTGATCACATATAATTTAACATTGACAAGGTTTATTCTGTATCACATGATCAGCAATTGTTGAAACCAAAATGAACTTAAATGTTTTGTTCCTGTCAAAGCAAAAAGACATGAAATGCTTTTAGTCTTGTGATATTCCTACTAGAGATCATCGTTTCATGGACCATAATATTCAAGGAGCAGATCTTGTTCTTGTCAGAAAATGGAATGACCAGTTCATAGTGCGGCACATTTTATTATTTGTATATAATTTAAGAAAATGACAACGATTTGTCAGATTATTTAAATTTTAAAATCATTTTTTAATTACTCTTTTATATTTACAATATGGATAAGTTATACATGAGAATCTATTGCTACATGAAGTAAGACAAATGAAAATAGTCAATAGTCCATGATATATCAAAGTGAGTTTATACATTGTATTTTTGCTTAACAAGCTTAGTGATAACAAACTTATTTCCCCTGCATGGCATTTGATTTAGATCATGACATATATAACTTTTGAGATGCTGAGAAAAACATTTGTTTAGTTTTATAAATTAATCTGATCTACTAAACACAGTAGCACCCCATGTTTAACATTGAAAACATTTCTTACTGTTTCTGTATCAACAATGGTAGAGAGTGTTTGAGTTTTAGATTCCACGAGAGGTAAGGAGCAAATTCTATGCATTAGTTTATATTCACATTATAGATTATTCAGTTTGACATAAGGCAGTTAGATCTTGCAAGTATGAAATGAATTCTAGTATTCAGCAGATGTGTGTGAGTGTTTATTGTTAAAAAGCTCAACATGATGATTTGAATTAGACAAGATACAGTTCTAGTTTGATATATTTCAAATTATGTATGTAAAATTATTTGAGCATGCATTTTTTATATTTCTGTGACATCTGTAGGAAATCAACTAAACATTTTGAAAGTGTAGATCTCTATGATTATATTACCTCAATCTCATGGCTATTATCAACATAAATTTTTTTTTTTTATTTAAATTTTCTAATTAAGCAAGTTATGTAATATATATATACACATGAAAACAAACTTTATGGTGGACTGAGCGTTGACAAAATTTAACTCTACCAAACTTGTTTTTGTATTTGACTGAACACAGACATCTGGGAACCAATTTACTAAGTGATATTATTTTAGCTTTTTGTGTGTATTTTAATTAAGATTTTACTGACATTTTATTGAAATGGTTTTAATGTATATTATGTTTTGTGGTACCATGATTTTTTTTAAAAACTTGAATGTAATTTATGAGTATTAGTTCTAAACATATTTGCCAGGCCAGTTGTTGCAATGCATCGTTTTGGTGATGATTTGTAGTACCTTGATATTTTCGTTTAACTTAAATGTAATTTATAAGTATTATTTCAAAACCTATTTGCCAGGCCAGTTGTTGAAGTTCAATGACTGCACTTCATCACTTTACTGATTGGTGAGTTTGCTATTCAAGTATGGGCTGATGTAGATTCTGTGAATGTTGTAAGCTGGGCATCAGTGTTTTCATCTTTAATTGTTTGGTTGTTCTTGGATGTATTTCTATTCCTTGAGATGTTCCGGTAGACTTGTGATAATGATTCTTAGCATAAAAATGTTTGGTACAAATGAAGCAAGCCATAAGTCATAGCTGAAATGAAGTTACTTAAATCTGTAAGAGTGTTTCATGAGTTTAACTTGATCTTTGCTTAAGCCTTTTTATTATGGTACATAGAACAGCAAAACAAACAGAATAAACAACATATATATAAAACAAATATTCACCTGATTTTACTTTTTAAAACTTATTTACATTTCATTGCCATTTTGAAATAATGCTTTTTTTTTTATGAACAATACAATATTCTCTTTAGGTTGACGTTTTTCTTACTTAGATTTAGACCCTCCCTCACCATTTGGTGCATTGGGTGGCAAGCTGTCTCCTTAAAGATCTGTCACTGGCAATGTCTGAAGATTCTTTCCAACTGTTGTCCACTGCTCTGAAATCCTCACTACGGAGTGTGGCTGTTACGCGCATATGAGACTCTTAATTATTCACCAACAAACTTATCTATAATAGGTTATGAAGACTTTTGTTCACATTACTCCATTTCTAGGTCTTCTTTCTCTAACCCTTTCAACACGTGTTCGCACCATTTCAGCACCATTTCACACATTCACACTATGCTGTGCACGTAACAGTGGCATTATATAGTTTATTTGATCAACCTTATTTGTTTGGATGTTTTTGTATTGTTTAAGCTGCTTTGCACTGGGATGCATAATATTCTATAAAACAAACAGTTGAATCAGAAAATAGTTTTTTTCAGTCAAGCAGTATGAACAACAAAAAAAAAGCACTTGATGTATTATGACATGTTCTGTTTAGTTAGTCATTGTTAGCATGTCCCTACTGCTAGTACTGCACTATCTGTGTGCTTCTTTGTTTGCTAAATTTTTCTTGCACTCCATGCACTCCATTGTGGCAATTTTTTTATTTTTTTTTTGCAGAGTTGTTTTTTCTCTCTGCATTTCTTTTTATGTTAGAATATTTTCTCTTTGCCTGTCACCTGTTTTAAAACATATTTGATATCTGATGTACCTGAATTCAATAGTTTCAAGGAATGCACATATATGGCAGAAAAACTGAAAAGACATTCCTGCAATACTTTATATAGTAACCTTTATTTCACTTACAACACCTACAGACTTGGACTGTAAACCAATCAAGGGAAGCTAATGCAACCTTTTATATAATTTTTTTCAAAAGCTGATGTTCTGTTGTTCACTTACCTCCCTCTCCCTCCTTAACCTAGCTACACAATCAGTCTTACACAATTTTATTCCCCTGAGTAAAGAAAGAAATTGTTTGATGTTTAATGTCTGAATCCTGTATCATACAATTGAGGTTTTTGTTTCTTGTGTAGATGTTTGTCTAGATCATATTAGAAAATGTTGACAAGTTGGATTTAACTTTTGATTTAGTCTTCTGATGATTGGCTTCTTGTCCTTTTTTATTGACTTGTTTATTTCTGCTTGTAGATCTGTGAGTGATGGATACAGATGTTTAATTGGATGAATGTATATATGGCCATAATTTTAAGAAGCTTTGTTCATTAAATGTCATTGTGCAAAGGTATAGGCCTCTTCTTACTAACTTCTAAACAAACCACCTCAATCTTGACTACACACTAGATCTGTAACTTGTCAAAAGTTTTACATGTTACTGCAGTAACCAATGTTTACATTACAAAACAAAGCCTAATTTTAACAAAGCCTAATGTTTAAATCACAAACAAAGCCAACAATTTACTTATTGTATATGAACTATTTACAACTGTTTACAACTTTCAAGTTACAATGTACTTCATAGGTAACAATTCTGGTTTGCTCCTGGATTCAAACCCTTGACATTCAGTTCTGCCCAGAGCTATGCCATTAAGGTGCATTAAATAGTTCTTAAAGGCTGATGTTGAAATAAAAGAATTCCAAACCAAAATCTGTCCAAGTGATGACTCTAAGAAAACACTGATGGCTGGCTGTAATGTATAATGCAGTTCTGGTGTCTCTTCTATTCATTTTTCAGTGTGATATTTTGAGTCAAAAACTATTTCTTATACGCTTATTATTTTTTCTGTTGTTGTATTTTTATATATATCTTGCTGATGTACAGGACTAGCAACATTTCTCTCAAACTGAAAGCAATATTGAAACATCTTAAGTTTTAAGGCAGGGAAAAAAGTAAGATGTAATAAACTTGATAAAACTATTTAGAAGAAACTCCTTTAACATTAATGGAGAGGTGAAATTTTTTTTTTTTCCCTACTAATGTTTCATGAATGAAATCCATTTGAACATTGAACATGGAGTAAATGTCACTGTACTTGTTGAATGTACTTTCTTGACCAGATATTTTCCTTTCACAGATTATTATAGAAGGTTATATATGGTGACAGTAAGAATAAAATCTTATTTAATTATAGATGCAATTATAACTATTAACTGTGTTGTGTCTTGATTTTCAATATTGCATTTCAAAAACAGTTTTGGCATCATATATCATGATTGGAATAAATAGCGGCCTCCTGTTTTAAGACACTTAGTAAACAGCTCACACTGACATACTGATTCGACCTGGTTGAAATGATGACGTGTCAATAATTGAGTCGGAATGAGAACACGGCTAGGCACTAAACAAATCTTAAGTTTCTGGTAATTCCAAACCGTGTATTTGTCACTTCACAAGTTCATTGAATAGATCACTATATTTCATATTTCTATTCTTGAGAAGCAGTGCGAGGGTTTCTATTGAAATCTATGAGAAAGTCATTCAAGGCCAACGTTTTAATTGAAACAGAAAGTTTGGTAGAACAATATGCGAGGGACGTTCACTTGCTAATAAAATTTAAAAAGTTCCCTTTCAGACCTTGTGGGCAGATGATGTATAGGTCATCTGTTTCTTTGGCCTACGGTTAACGAGGGTGTAATGTGGCCAGCACAACAACCAACTTTACTTTCCCGAACTAAAGTCAGGTAACCAATACAGTTGGGTGGACTCAGGGGCGCCCAAAAAAATCAGAAATTTTCAAATCCCTGTCTTTACCAAGATTCGATCCCAGGATCCCCGGTTCGGAAGCAAGCGCTTTACTGCTCAGCCATTGCGCCTCTTGCTAATACTTAGCTGACCATCTTTTGTATTTATGACCAGTAGATATAATCGAGGTGTGGGATAATATAAATGCCAAATACTGCTTATTAAAATATGTACAATTATGTGTTTACAAAATGCATTTGTTTTATTAAAAATGGGAGAATGGAACTTTTGTAGCTTTTTTTGTTTAAACTGAAGTTTATAGTTTTATATAGGCTGAAATGCATCTTCCCGAAATGTATAGCACTCATGACAAAATGGTGGAAACAGTTATACCTTGGTCTCTCATAAAGGAATTCAATTTCCTTCTATGAGTCTATGTATTTCAATGTCTCTGCTCGTGCAATATAAAACACATACTTTACTAATACCGGTATTCGTATTTTGTATAACTTTCAAGCAATAAATGTATTAAAAAATTGGCAGAGGCGCCCGAAGGATTTTTTTGGGTGGGTTTTGCAAGTTAAAAACTACGGCTCATAGTTGTAGCTTCAACTTTCTTGTTACCAGTTCAGAAAATACTAAAGAAAAGAACTTGTGCGGCTCCCTCCTCCTATTCCTGCTTACTAACAAATACAATGGCATTGTTATCAGATTGTCATTGTGATATTAATGCACAGTAAACGCTTGTTTTTAATTAAATTCAATAACAAAAACATGAACATTATTTAATATACACGCTGTTACGTTTAAATTCATCCAAGCTTCAGAACATAATCAGTCGGACTAGACTCTTTATTCATTTCCTTGAGACTATTGGGCGTTTGTTCGTAGATCTGGCAGATTTCTATAGTTTTTTCTAGTGTCAAATCTGAACACATTAGTAGCTTCTCTTGTAGACGTTGATTAGTAGAAAAAAAACTAGTTTATCTCTTATCATTCGGTCTTTGACTTTAAAATTGCACTTCTCAACCTGTGTCCTCAAACTAGTTATTGCCTTTCTTTGACATTTTCGTTTCTTGTTGGCGCCTGACGCTAGACGGTAAATCTCCATCTGTCTTCGCCATTGACGAAAATTTTCACCAACATTTCGATTTATCAAGTTTTATTCTGTTGGTGGATTTATCAAACATTTCTGGTATTGTTTCAATGAAAAATAATTACTATAGTTCTTACTTAATGTGCTACCGCTGCCACCATGTTAATATACTCATAAATACAAGCAGAAAAAGATAACGACAAGGCCGATTTACAAAATACACACAGGCTTTTTTCAACCATATTAGGTAACGAACAGCAACACACACTTCCTAATACGCTAAGGGAACTCACTCTCACGCAAGAATGAGTTAATATAAGCTTTGTAATAATAATAGCACAAATTTGCAATGACTGCTGGTGGAATGAGAAACATCGTTTGTTCTTGCAGCTGACAGTGTTAAAATTATGGGTTGTATACCGGGTTTGAGCCAAACATTTTCTTTTATGTATTGGCCTCCTTCAGTCGTAGAACGACTATAGTTCATCTCAAACACCTTTTCGTGTTGCTGTGGAGCCCTATTGTGGAGACAATTATTTATTCACTGACTATACATGAACTAGTTAATTTGTAAGTTGTAGGATAATTAATTAATTTTGAGTGACATTTAAAAAGGGAAATAAATATTGCATTTTAAGATAAGTATGGCAACCATTTTGTGGTTCTATCCTATATATTTAAGCTTTTTTTTTATTATTATTTCTAAATTTTAGCAAAAGTTTTTATTACAAGAATGCTTTTAGTTAAGCACATCTGATCTTTTTTTTTTAAAATGATCTATTGTGTCTTGCAATCTTTGATATGACTCAACCTAAACCAGTTTCATTCATTTAGGTCTGGTGTTGGAAGTATTTTAAAAATTATATTTGACCTATTTGCCAAGAACGTATTTGATCCTTTACATGCAGCTGTGTGCAGAAAAGCGCTCTACTCAGAGGTGTATATTACTACCCAGCTTGTTGGGTGTTACTTTGGGTTCCTGTGTGCGTAACTTTTACCTTGCATAGGACGACAAACATTGATATTTACCAATTAACACTATTATCAGCAGACAATATAAATGTATTTATTATTCATAAAATTAGGCAAATCCAGCCATAAAGACGCAATGAATGAATAAACAATAGCTTCCAGTGAAAGTTACAACCCATAACTCCGAAGTCCAAAATGTGACAATGTCTCACAAATACACTTACTACAAAGTTGAATCTCTCGATCATTGCTCATGGCGGGAAGTCGTTAATGTCAATGTTTTAAGATGCGAGGCAAGGAGAGTGGCCAGAATGAAAGAACTTGGTTAGGTAGATGTATTAAAAAAAAAAAAAAAAGTCTGAGAAAAGAAAGCAGATTTAGCTGGAGCAAACAACTATTCCGTGCATGTATGTGGCAAATATATCTGCAGCGACCCAACTAACCCATGCATGTATGTGGCAAATATATCTGCAGCGACCCAACTTACCCATGTATACATGTTGCAAATATATCTGCAGCGACCTACCTAACACATGTATGTATGTGGCAAATATATCTGTAGCAGGAAAAATTTGTTTCCTTCTCGTCAACCACGAAATAAGAGCTAAATTCTAAAAAAAAAATTGTGTGGTTTGCAATTATAATCATTGTGATCTAGATATAGGCTACTTTTATATCTTGAACTCTTGTGATCTAGATATAGGCTACTTTTAGATCTTGAACTCTTGTGATCTAGATATAGGCTACTTTTAGACCTAGATCTAGAACTCTTGTGATCTAGATATAGGATACTTTTAGATCTAGAACTTTTGTGATCTAGATATAGGCTACTTTTAGATCTTGAGCTCTTGTGATCTAGATATAGGCTACTTTTAGATCTTGAACTCTTGTGATCTAGATATAGGCTACTTTTAGATCCTGAACTCTTGTGATCTAGATATAGGCTACTTTTAGACCTAGATCTAGAACTCTTGTGATCTAGAAATAGGCTACTTTTAGATCTAGAACTTTTGTGATCTAGATATAGGATACTTTTAGATCTAGAACTTTTGTCATCTAGATATACTGATATAGGCTACTTTCAGATCTATAACTAGTATGTCTATTGTGATCTAGATATAGGCTACTTTTAGATCTAGGTCTAGATTTAGGCTAAATCCTTTCAAAAAAAATTGTATGGCTTGCAATTATAATCATTGTGAACATTGAACAAACCAGACCTGCTACTGATGTACTTTTATTTGATCAGACTTTAAAACATTTGTTGAATTGAATGTTAGGGATGTCTCATTGTAAAATTTAAAAAGTACATTCAAAATTTGGTTTCCGCTTTTCTGTTGTTTTTTTTCAAAAGGTTGTAGATGTTAGTCCATGAGTGACTCTAAAAGTGTACACATACCGGGTCTTGCCTTAATCTGTAGGAATAGTATACGAAAGTATAGGCAAGCTATATATTTTAAAACTAAATCATGTATATATAAATACACATATTCACATACATATATATATATATGGTGACCCGTCAAAATAGCGCGGACAAAATAGCGCCGACGAAATAGCGCGAAATTTCCCGACAAAATAGCGCAAGACAAAATAGCGCGGACTTATATATGATGTGTATAAAAGTATCGGATTATTAGTAATTTAATGTCCTGACTATGTTCGACTCTTCAAGAAACTGCTGGAGCTAAGACCAACTCTTGCTCCACTGAATGTGATGTTAGATTTTGAGAAGGCAAGTCAAAATGCAGTAAGCTCAGTTTTCACTGCGACGAAGTAAAGCTGCAAGCAAGACAAAGTACCTCCAACTTAACAGACGACTTGAAGCTTTATTGCCAATGTACGGAAACAAGCCAGTGATGGAATTTCTACGTGACATTTCCTACAATTTATCTTTGTGAAAGTTTGTTTGTGTGTGTGTGTAAATTCGACAAGTATCTTTGCGTGTTTTCGAAGTACACTTTTATAATGTAAATAAATGCTATAATTTGAAATTATTCATTTTACCTTATTATGATTTTTGCTTATTTATGTTTTAAGATAGGGCCTTTCTAAAGTGTTTCCTGCAAAATGACAGAAAAATTATGATAACACATTAAGACAAAAAAAATATATTGGCTCTATTCATATTTTACTATATCTAAAGTATTTCTTTCAAAATGACTAAAATATTTTTTTTCGGCGCTATTTCATCAGCGCTATTTTGTCGGCGCTATTTTGACGGGTACCTATATATATATATATATTGTTATGACTCTACATTGCGCGCTGTCTTTTGGCGCGACATTGTGTACCATAGGACACGATGGAGAAACAGAGGAGGGAAGGAAAACACGAAGGCCTGAGATGTGATTATTAGTTTAGATCTAGATGTAGTTTCTAATGGATTAGTAAACGTATTATTTTATAATCCTTTCGTTCAGGTTATTTGGCTAAGTTATAACAATTGGTGTCAGAAGTGGGATCCTCAACGAAAGGGGAGAAGAAGGTCTAGATCTATGTACAAGACATTGAACGATTCCATTGTCGGGTAAATCAACATAAGATTTGGTTCTAGTTGATCCACGTTTGACTACTGGATGGCGTCTAAGAAAACACGTTGGTCAACTGTCATTACAGGAACTTAGTCAACTGTCATTACAGGAACTCAATCAACTGTCATTACAGGAACTCAATCAACTGTCATTACAGGAACTTAGTCAACTGTCATTACAGGAACTTAGTCACTGTCATTACAGGAACTTAGTCAACTGTCATTACAGGAACTTAGTCAACTGTCATTACAGGAACTTAGTCAACTGTCATTACAGGAACTTAGTCAACTGTCATTACAGGAACTTAGTCAACTGTCATTACAGGAACTTAGTCAACTGTCATTACAGGAACTTAGTCAACTGTCATTACAGGAACTTAGACAGGAACTCAGAGGTAGAGAGCTGAAGGTGAACGGCAACAAGGAGGCACTTATGGAGCGTCTTAGGCTAAACATGATAGAGGAAGAACAGGACCTGGAGACCTATTGTTTGAAATAGAACCGACTATGATGGAGCTTTGGACACATGATACAAGAACAAGGCAAAACAAATACTGGCATAGGAAACTCATTGAAGGAAGACATGAAATCAGGAAAGGATGAACTTAAAAAAGAAATGGGTAATGAACTGAGCTCTATAAAATCATTTGTGACCGAATTGAAAAATGGCATAAACAGTTTCAAACAACAATCAAGAAATGAGGTCGCGCTGAATGAAGGTCCCAAATGGTGGGAGATGTTGATTCTAAAATTCAACAATTACGAAATGAAATGAAGGCGGAGCTGCAAAAGAAACAAGATGCGGGGGCCACTGTGACTGAAATGACGGGGAAGATTAAACCACTGGTGTTTGACGGCTCGGTGTCTTGGTCGGCGTATCGATTACAATTCGAGGCGGCGGCGCAAATCAACAGATGGGAAACTAAGGCAGAGAAAGCAACTGGTCTTACGTTGGCACTCAGAAGCAAGGCAGCCGAATTGTTACAGACTATGACGGATCGGACAGACTACGATGTCATGTTCAAAACAATGGAACTACGATACGGCAATGAACACCTGCAGGAAGTTTTCAGGATGCAATTAAAGAATCGACAACAGAAAAACGGAGAGACATTACAGGCATTAGCAGCAGACGTAGAACGTCTCGCCCCTCTTGCTTACCCATCAGCAACACAGGAACTTTTGGATGTTCTGGTCACAGATGCTTTCATAGATGGAGTGCGAGATTCGGAACTTAAGAAGGCCATCCGAATAATCGGAAAACGGAAAATCAACGAAACCCTCATCTATGCCCTGTCCTACGAGGCGGCCGAAGTTTCAGCGAGGAACATACACTATTGTCGGACGTTAAATGTGTCGAAAGAGGAGGATCTGCCGCGGCTGAGCCGAAGAATGGTGGAGAAGATTTTAAATGAACGGGAACCATATCAGACCTCAAGGCGTAGTAGAAAGACTTTTCGTTGTTGGAATTGTAACACTCCAGGTCATTTACGGAGGAATTGTAACATGTTGTTCCAAGGCCAAGGCTGTGCATCGGAACGTCAACCGCTACGATGCTCTTAGAGAGCAAGGACTGGCAGCCCAGAAAATCGGAACTTCGAGAATAAAGACTCCTTTCAGTGTGTTAGAGCAAAGCAGAACCTTGAGAGTGCAAGGAAAGATTGGCGTTCGCTCTTATAGGTTCCTCTTGGACACAGGGGCTACGCGGTCGATAGTTAGACCCAGTCTGATCGGAGATCAAGAAATAATACGAGTGAATGGCTACACTCTTAAAACGGCAGGTGGCGAACTGTTACCTATATTAGGACAGATACGGCTTAACTTTGAAATAGGAACTCAACTATTTAGTCATGATTTTCTGATCGCCAATGTTGTCGACGATGGCATCCTTGGTCTGGATTTTATGCAGGAATTCGGTTTATCTCTAAACATTGGAAGTGGAACTGTACAATATGGAGACATAGAGTTTCCATTGCTAAATGGTGATGTGGAAGGCGTTCAGGTGAAATGAGTCGAACATACGACAATATCAAAATGGTCCAATCTGTCAGTAAACAGGTATCATAAAAGGGACAAACTGGAAGGCCGGCTGCATCCTAGAAAAGCGTAGAATGAAACATCAACCAATCATTGTTATGGCTGTACGGGTAGTTACAACGAAAGTGTTGGTGGTGGCAGGACCGTCGATGATCATAATGTGAGCTTGCGCTCCCTAAGCTAGTTTTATATGTATTTTTGTTGTATAGGTTAGATCTATTTTTATATATTTTATATTATAGGTTAGTGTCAGATTTTATAATTGTACTTCCGCATATTTATATAGGTTAGTGCGGGATAGTATAAAAGTGATTTACTACATGGTGTCTTAAAACAGTTGAGTGTACATTTGACCAGTGGTCAGTACCATATCTGTCTGTGTGACAGCTGAAGATCTTTGTGATCTGTCGTCTAATTATTTTATTATTCTGTACCTGGGACGGCCTGTAAGTTTGTAACTATTTGCTTTTTTTTTTTACTAGATCTATGGCACACTGTGTGTAAATATGCTAGACATATTTTAATTTAGTTTTATTTTCTAGTTGGCAGTTTATGTTTTGAGCATGTGATTTAAAGATGGCTGGAGTCCATCAGTCCTGCTTTGAGTTTTCTAGATGTAATAGAATATATGATTTATTGTATTGCAGGCTATTGTTATTGCTGTGTCACTGCTTTCAGCTGCTGCAATTACACTGCTGAACATAACTGCTATCACTCTGCTGTACATCTAGATTTATTTTGTTTCTGTACTAGATCTAGTTTAGTATTGCCTTAGTCAAGGCTTAGTAAACTTA